GAGTTCAACTATACAATTTGAGACTAAAATATCTTTTTCTAGTGAATAACGTCCCACAATAAATAATTGAACATGAATAAAAGGAAAGTTTGAAACAATTATGCAATTCAAAGAGGCAATGATTTTCATAAAAATATAATAAACTTCAAAAATAAAAGAATTTTATAAAGCTTAAATAAAATCTTGAACTATTAAAATCTCATATCAAGTATTATTATCACTTGATTTGCAAGAAAATAAACAAATAAATAAAATAATTATAAATAATTCACTAATTAAAAACCAATGGAATGTAAAATCATCAAATAATCAAGTTCATATTACAAGGACTTATCAGAATAATTAACAAACGGGACACAAAGTCCACGAGAGGTATAACTAAACGCGGCTCTTGCCACGAAGACAAACATGAACACACAATCCATGAGGGTAAGTAACCAAACGCAACCGAAGCTAAGAAACAAACATGGACACACACACAGTCCATGAAGGTAATGCTAACTAAACGCGGCTTGAAGCCATAAAACAAACGTGAGTACGATGCTCATGATAACCATCCCTCCATTCCACGTGCATTGGCCATCGCACGGGGCTAGCCCCCTCCTATAAACACCCTGCTAGTTAGGTGTACCATGGGCGCCAAGGGCTAACGGAACTATCGTTAGCAACTAGTGTTCTGTATAAAATCCTTTTTTAAAATCATTTTCCAACATACGAGAGAAATCATCACTTTTATAATACAGTTCTCATTCTCAAAATCAAACTCGCATTAATACTTTAAAGCATTAAAACTTGCTAGAATCAAATTTCATATCCGATGCTCATGATTGCATTTATTGAATAAAAAAATTTCAACGTCGAACTCATATGAATCATTCTCTATATCAATCTAATATTTGATAAAATGAAAATCTCATAATTAAAGTTCAAACTTGACTTAATTGATCAAATAACATTTCAAATTTGGTAAAGCTAATATCTCAAAATAAAGAAATGTTAATCAACAAATATCCAATAATCGCATTAATGCATTTAAAATGATTTACAGAAAAATGTAATATTTTAGTAAAGAAATTTGGATAAAAATAAAAATAAAAATCAGTTGGGATACTATTCACTTACCTGTAGTATCCTTAAGGCTCCAAACTCATTTCTTATGACTCTATTTGAGCTTCCCTTCTTCCAAACATCCTGATCAGTTGAAACAAATGAAAGGCAGAGCTTAAAGCTCCAACAGTACACACAGATCAGCAGATTCAAAACATATGGAGAAGAAAGTGTCACCGCGTGAATATGAGGAAGGAAAAGAGAGGCAGTCGACATTGAACACAAGGGAGGAAAAGTCTGATGCACCCAACATCCACACCAGAAAGGTTACGCACCAGATTATTGCTGCTGCCCGAAGAGGAAGGAGGAACCCGACGTCTGAACAGAGAAGATGAAGACTTGATGGTGATGGCTGGAATTCACACACCTATCGACGGCGAACTAACTGACGGAGAAGGAAGCCTCACGATGATTGACGAAAAGAAGAAAAGGGAAAAAGGAGGAGCTTGGACGCTCAACAGGGGAACCTTGGTTTAGCGATCTGTGCCTCAACGCAGGGGTTTCCAGCGGACGTTACAGTAGCAGCGAGCAGAGCTCCTGCTCTCATCGATGGCTAGGTTCGCTGGCCTCAGTCTCATTGAACGAGGAAGAAGAAGAGGGAAGATCAAAGGAGTTGCTGTCTGAATCTCCCTCTCATACTCACTGGTTCTAGAGTTTTCGAAGAATAGACGGAAATTTTTCTTTCTCTCGTGATTTGACTGAGAAAAGAGAATAAAAGGTTGAATCAATAGAAATCACAACAATTATAAAAGAGGCACAGCACTTTCCTTTAATAACATAAAAGTCATAGGTACTTTGATAATTTTTTTTTAGGGTCATTACACAAGCGACCCGAATAGAGGAGAAAGATGAAGGGTCTACTACACCCATGCGAGGCTGATAGAGAAGGAAGATTCCAGCACTGGTCCAAGAAGAAGTTCTTGAGAGAGAGACCTAGTTCCGGCAACCTAACTCCCAAAGTACCCCTAGTGACGCAAACAAAAACAGAGAAGATAAATCAGAAAACAAACAGGACGATGCAAGGTAGAGAAGGAAGGATAAAATCGTGACCTCAAGGAACCACCACAGCAGCAAACAGCACGCCCATGGTTGCCGACGACGGAAGAATGAAGAGGAGAAGGAAGAAGGTTGAATGAAGATTGGGCTTTATCACTAATTCTAGAGAAATCCGATAGAAGTGGAAAGGAGAAGGAGAGAAGTAGCTTTATATGTGTATATATATATATCTGTGTTCATTTGACCTTCAGGTTTTTTTTATTTATTTTATTTTTTAGGGTATTTTGGTAATTTTTTTTAGATGAAGAAGAAGGAAAAAACATCCATTGGCAGTGAGAAGTGTCGAACCCGCATGTTGAGGATGATTGCCAATATTGTTTCCATGGAGCAGCCAATTTCTCTTTGAATATTGGTTCCATAGGTTAGTATTCATAAGTTTAGAAATTCTTATCATAATTTATAATTCTACTGAAATTCCTAAATTATTACAAGCAGAATTTAAATACTCACAATAGATATTACTAAGCCACCCTTTCTTCTTGTAGTTTCTACTCCAAAAATTAATAAAATGAATCAAAATACTTAATTATAATTTTTTTTATTTTACTTAAAACTTTGGATCATTACATATATGGCCTCTTTTATAAAGTTAATGGTTACTCATGTACCATTATTAACTTAAGGATACTAGAAGCTCTTGGAGAAAAAATTTCTGAGTATTTTTACACTTTATGTTGGCTTTTTTTTTTAATGGTCAATGTCAGCAGACATCAAGAAAATTTAATAGAATGGGGATTGTTGCACTCAATAAAACATGTTGATGGATAATCATGTATGTACCTTTATTCACTTAAGGATATTGAGTGCTTCTAGAGAAAAAGTTGCTAGGTATTTTTGTCCTTTAAACCAAGAATGTATATTGATTGTCTTGACTAGGAAAATTAAATATAAAATATGAATTGTCACCATTCATGACTTCCTTTTCTCTTTGGCCATGTTAATGAGTTGTGTAAAAAGACAAGCCCAATTCATATAACCTCCTCATCATCAATGGAATGACAAAAACAAATATACATAAATTATTTTTATTTTATTCACATAAAATTGTGTCATTTTCTTTATGCAATGAATATATGAATCGATATGAATACACTAACAAAAAGATAACCACCATTTATAATTTTTTTCGTAGTAATATTTAACAATTACTTAATATTTGGGAGGATGAATGTTTTCAAAATAGAAATTAAATCTTTATAATTGAAACAAAATATATAGAAGGTTAGTCATCAATATATTTTAAAGATAAAGTGAAATAAAATAATAAATAAGACTTAACAACTTATAATATAGTGTGTGGATCTCAACTTTGATGGAATTTAGAAGGGTTAAAGTGAAAATTTACCCATAAAGATTTTTGTGAGGTGATAATGTCATCCTTAACTCAAGTATGATGGAATTTTGTCCATGAATCCTAAAAAATGGTGTAAAAATCCCCAATTCTAATGGAAGCCAAACATTCGTCAAGTAAGAATGTGGGTCCCACCAAGCATGCTACATGTAAATGGGTTAAGAGCGAAAATGTCTAGAATATATTATACAACGGCGCAATTTTTCCCATAAACCTAAAAAATGGTTCGCAATCGTAAATTAGACCATTTACTTGGGCTTAATTATATAATAATTATGTAATTTTTAGTATTTACATATTTGGTCCATTGTATTTTTAAGCCTTAAAACATAACCTATAGGAATCAAAATTCACCCGTTTTGATCAATTTCAGATTTTTAGTGCATGATCAGGATTGTGAAACATTGAATATATTGCCATATAACTTAAACATTCCTCCGTGCATGCATGCACACTCTCCCACACCCCCCGGCTATAATAACCCATATACATTAACAAAAATAAAAGTAATTTAAAATTTGTGTTAAGATATGTTGATTATATTTTTATATATTTAAGGATTAATTTGTAATATTAAATTTATGGCTTAGTGGTGACTACTATTGACTTCAAATCCAAGGTTCCAGGTTCGATCTCTTCGGAAGCAAGAGTGGGACTACTTTTTTTCTTTCTTTCTCACTTTTCAGTCTTTATGTGAAATTACCCATTTGTCCTTAACTTGGTCAGATTTTTCTCTTCCTTCTTCCTCATATTTTCACATTTTCATGCACAAGTTGGAACAGCAAGAGAGCTGTCCAAAAACTTCACCCACTGTGCTCTAATCTATGATCTCTCCACCATTCATGCTTGCCACTATCGCATTAGTGGAGCTGTACCATTCTTGTTTTGCTAAACTTACAACTTCTTTCTTTTCTGCTTAAAACCCAACGAGATCTCCATTCCTCTATTCATGGGAGCTTGCAAGGGTTCAAGCTTTCCTCTCCATTCACCTTCATCCGCGGCGCTCCACTGTTGGTGAACATGGAAGCGTCAGAATCTTCCTCCTCCGATAGTTTGGCTGCGTGTACATATTAGATTCTCCCTCCCCTGTGCAGCTCATGATCTTCTGTTCCTTCTTCTATTCTTGTGGTTTGGGTTGTATCTAGTCTACCTTTCCTTAATACCGTTGCTGCATAGAGGAATTTAAGGACAAAACATTGTCACCAAGAGACTATTTTGGAAGTATTTTACACGCTTGAGAATTTTATAGGTAAGTGGATGACGCCAAATTAAATTACCAATAGAAATTTCTTTTAAAGAAATTATTATTTCCAATTTATTTTATTATATATTGTTGGTAAATTATATTTCTCATTGGCTGTTCCTTTATTTGGATTTTAATAAAATAAATTATTTTATTTTGGTTTGCTCCATTATGTTATGTTGGATCGATTAGTAACTTATACAAGTTTAAATGAATTTTATCTAATAAGTCATGCATGGAATCTATAATAAAATTTATGAAATGTGGTTATAAAACATCCATGCATGTTTGAATATTGATATTTCAAAGAGGACTACATGTAGAACACCGGTTGCTAACGGCAGTTCCCTTAGTTTGTAGCGCACTATAGTTAATGACTAGCTAGTTTGATTTTTTTTTATAGGCTTTGTTCTCACATCTGTTATTCGTGGGCTTTGAACTTGCATCTATTTCATGGTTTCAATTGTGTTTGGCTAGTTATTATTGTGGACTGTATGTCTACGTTTGTTTCATGGTTTCGATTGTATTTGATTGATTACCCCATGGACTTTGCATCCATATCCATTATTTATTATGTAAAGTCCTCATAAAATTAATTTTATTGAATTTGTGGAATATAAATGTCATATCCTGAAAATTGAGGGTGACCAACATGGGATAGGAACCACATTACACATCCCTCAAGCCTTAAATCGAGAAATCTTTTTATTACTAAAATATAATTACACTTATATTAATTTATAGCATGCATAACCATTTCTGTATTAATGAAATCTTCAATATTTTTGTAAAAAATTGCAACAAAACCTTCCTTGTAAATAGGGTTTCCCAAAAACTCTACAGCACAATGTTTTATGGAAAAGATCATTTTAATCAGGAGCTTAGCTTTGTCTAACCAACAGATAGAATATTTAAAAAAATATAAATCTCAACTATAATTTATGTGGAGCACTTAATCATATTTTTATGACATAATACATAAATATCATATTTATCAAAAATAAATTCTTGTAATGACCCAATAATTTTAAATATTATTTTTAATTTATTTTAGATATTTTTATTTAATAATATTGTTTAGATTTTATTTAGATATCTAGTTATTTAAATTTTATTCAGGTATTTAGTTATTTAGATTTTCTTTTGCATTAGATTATACTAACTCAGAATATAATTATCAAGTTAGAATAAATAATAAAATAAATTTATTGTATCTGTATATTTTGTTTGGGAAAATAACAAGATGCATGAGTAGCTTAGTGCAATTTCTCTTGGCTCTTTCTCTTACCTATAACCAGTTCATTAGCCGATGACTGTGGGTGTGCCTCTCGTCACAGTCGCTGGCCGAGGTTTAAGGTGCACCAGATGTTCTCCCTTTTTCTCTTCTTCCCTCCCCTGTTTTGTCATCCTCCTTCTCTGTTCTTTCTCCGTCCTCACGTCGTTGCTGGTGCGTTGGGAGCCAAGTCTCCAAAACTGGAAGCTGCTCTTGCAAGACCTTCTTCTTGGTTTGATGCCATGGATTCTTTTTCTTCCTTCCTCGGGTAACAGTGTTGAAGCTTTTCCCCT